CGCCACAAAGAAGAGGAAGTCAAGCTATTCTCCAAAGCGCCTGAAGGCAGGACGAGAAGCAACGGATGGAAACTAATCAAGGAGAGAAGCAACCTAGAACTAAGGAGAAATTTCCCGACAGTTAGAACAATTAACCAGTGGAACAACCTGCCTCCAGAAGCAGTGAATGCTCCAACACTGGAGGTTTTAAAGAAAAGACTGGACAGCCATTTGTCTGAAATGGTATAGGGTTTCCTGCCTGAGCAGGGGGTTGGACTAGATGACCTCCAAGGTCCCCTCCAACATCATCATCATCATCGTCGTCGTCATCGTCGTTGTTGTTGTTACTACTTAACCTGTTACTAACTCAACACCTGCAATGATTCACTTAACAACTGTAGCCAGAAAGGCCATAAAATGAGGCAAAACTCACTTAACAACTGTCTTGCTTGGCAACAGAAATTTTGAGCTCAATTATGGTTATAAATCAGGGACTACCTATATATTGTTACCCACCCAGATTCTGTTAGAATTGGGGCAGATTAAGTATTGAAAATAAAAATGTAAAGCATTGATTTTCTCTGCAGATCCACTGATTTGGTGGATTTCCCACTGATTTCCTATCCACTTTTGTGTTAGTTTCTAATCACAGAATTTCCCCCTCCCCTCCAAAATACCATAACTCCATATTCCTTGAGAGAGGTTTTTCTATCACCATACTGCCCTCTTCTGCTGTATCATCAGATTGCATTATTTGAAACGGCTGCTTCAGTTTCAAGGCATTTTCATGTGTGTTCATGTACAGCCACTAGTACTGTAGATTGAGTTGGTTAAGCGCTACCCAGTGGAAGAGAGAGTTTTCACTTTTTATCTACTGTAATCATTCCAATTTCCCCTGCAGTGAAAATGTATGATTGATATTATCTGGTTTGAACAGGTAATTTTTTTTAAAATTGCCACTGCTTTACTGACTTTTTTGGTACACAGTCTAAGATCTATTTTATCCTGAAGGTGTTTTCCTTGTTTGTTTTTTGTTTAAAAAAAGGTAAGCTCAGCTCTCAGTGACTACTTGGACTAGAATAAGAGGATTGGAAGGGATCTCGGAGGTCTTCTAGTCCAACCTCTGCCCAAGGCAGGAATCCTCGGACTATTTTGGACAAATTTCTTGAAAATCTCCAGTGAAGGAGATCCAGAACTCCAGGAAGCAAACTATTCCATTGCTTAATAGTTCTGTCAGGATAATCCTCCTTATTTCCAGGTTGGATTTCCCTCTGACAAGCTTCCACGGTTTGCCCTATCCTCTGGTGTCATGGAGAATAAATCAACAACCTTTCCTGTGGCAGCCTTTCAAGTACTGGAAGACTGCTATCACATCTCCCCTCAGTCTTCTTTGTAAAGCTTGTTCCTTTCCCCATTCTTCATAGGATTCAGCCAGACCGCTTATCATCCTTATTGCTCTTCTCTGCACTTTCTAGGGCCTCACCATCTCTTTTTGTACTGGGGGGTGACTGAACTGGACACGGTATTTCAAATGTGTCCTCACCAGTGTGGCATAGAGCTATCATTACATCTAGTTCTCTTGGCAGCAATAGGAAAATGGACTCACACTGGCTTCTAGGAGATAATGACTCCCCACACTACCCTACAAGTCTTGTAGTTTTCTGAAGTCTTCTACTTAAATCTGAGCAAGATCCAATTCTACCCAGCTTTCTTCAGGTCAGCCACTCTGGGAGGAGCTGTTACCTATCTTGGCAAAAGTCAGGCTTTAAACAGGAATGGTTAACACCATTTGTAAGATCAGACAAGGAAACTACTAGGAATACAGTGTATTTATTAACATTTATATGTTGCCTGACTTCCAACAACTTCCAATCTTGACTTAACTACAATGATGCTAAAAAGCCAGGAACTTATGTTCCCATCTGCACATCTTACAATTTTGAACTGTGGTTTATCACTGTCTGGCACACCAAGGACTTTCCATTTGTGTGCCAACAGGTGTAAGCAGAGTGAAAATATTTCTAATTCACCTTCTAGCTCCTGCAACCTAGATTTTGTTGACAGTGCACCGAGAATCCAGGTAGCTTTGGGATCTGGCAAAAGATCCTCTAGCTTCTTTATTTACAAGTTCTCTGGGCCTTGCATAAAACCTTGCAGACATGGATATGGAAAATATGTCGTGGGGAGGGGCACAAGGTAAGCTAGAACTTCCTGGGGACAACAGAAAGCAATTCAAGTTGCCTTCTGGTAGAATGGTTTTTCTGACTTTTCATGCTTAATATACCAGCCATTTTGTGGTAGGGCATCATCTTATAGCAGCCATTTTGTGAGAGTGCCTTCACATGCTTTAAAAATCCTAAATGTGCCCAACAGGCGGAGTTACCACATTAGGTTATTCCTTTACACAGAGACACTGGCAGATATTAGTGTTTTCATTTAGAGAAAGGAGTATACTTATTTTAAAATAAAAACTCTGAAACTATCTGCCAGCAAAGATGGTTTTTCTCTTAATACAGTTTTTAAGAAAGAATTCTTCCCAAGATAATAGCAAAAGGAAAGTTTAACCAGTTAACCAGACATTCAACCACTCTTCTGCCAATACTTTGTTATTGCACATACCGGATTTTTAATCAAGTCTGTGGGAGGACATGAAGCATGATTGATCGGCTTTATATTGGTGGGTGGTATGTTAATGCAGTTTGGTCAAGCATCACTCAAGAACCAGTTTGATGGTTAAAGACAGGTTTGAAATTGAGAGATTGTGAACTCTGCCTTAGTGTCCCCCCCTCCCCCAGCCCAAGCTGGCTGTGTGACCGTGGGCTAGTCTCTTTTTCTCTCCACCGTAGGAAAAAGGCAATGGCAAAGCACTTCTAAATAGAACAGCAAAAACTGATAAGAAAATATTCTTGTATGGTAGGCGAAAAATGCAATTACTCTGAAAAAAGATGGGGAAAACCCCAGTGCTCTATTGAGAACTACAGCAACGCACTACCACCTGCTCTCCATTTCCTCACAATGACACACATGCTTTAACACAAGTAGGTGTTACAGTGAATCGATCTTTAAAAGTATTCAAGTGGATAATTTTTCTCCTTTTTGTATAAGTACTGTCTGGTGAAAGAAATCTATCCCTCAAAAATGAAAACAAACAAAGTGTTATCAGAAGAATTTTGGACCTGATTTTATTTAATAAAGATGTGAATCACAAGGCAACCGAAGTTACATAGATAAAGTATCACAGACTTGCAAAAGTCCTGTGACCCATCTGTTCCTGAGATGAGATGTTCAATAGGGAACAGGGAATGGAAAAGTAAGTCAGAAATGAAAAATGGAAGAGCCGGGGATTTTATATATAAGGCATGACACAGACCCATCAGAAACTTAACAGCAACAATTTGATCTACTTAAAAATCAGCCCAGATAGAGACAATTGCATAATGCAACCTTCTTTTGTTTCTCCCAGTAAACATCTGATCTGTCAGGATGGGATTAAGTATCTAAGGGAACTCCATTAAACAAAGCTGATTCCTACTATTGATATTCTCAGAAAAATGGAGCCACATTAGCTAGAAAAGGTCCTTTACAGAGGGATGAATTGGGAACTTGACAAGGGTGAAGATGACAACTGAAAAGAAATCTGAAGAGAATATTTACGGGCCCCAAAGGTGCAGTATCCAAAAGCCCAGAATTCCCATTTTGTCAGTCATCTGCGTGGTTCAAGGAGGCAATTTGTTTCATTTTTTTGTCGGTTTGATGATAAGACTGTCGCTGGAAGAGAAAGATACAACAAAGAAGTGTGAGAAATGTACCATAATATGGGCTTGGGGAACAAGCATGAAATCAAGCCTTAATTTTTATGGTTAACCCAGAACAAGAGTAATTAAGGGTTCAAACATATATATGTGGGTTTGGTAGATTAATTCCTCAAGGCAGAAAAGCAGGTTTGTCCTATGCTGTTGTTCAGTTTCTACAACATTATTAAATTGTTGTTTGGGTACAGAAATTGTGTATTCTTCTATTTTTCTTCAGCCTGCTCCATGATGGGAGTAAAAGTAAGTTAAGTCATAGCTTTGGGTAGCTGATTTTACTAAGGGAAGAGAGATAATGATGTCCAATGCCTAACTGAGAAATTTACGTTGAATCCCTTATTATTAGGCCAAACCTTTGTAAACTTGTCTAGTTGCCCCATAAAATAATAATCACTTAAATGAAAAATGCTACGAATAGAACTACTAGAAAAGCTTCCTTTTCTTTTTTACTTCATTTAGGGAAGACTATAACAAGCTGCTCTTGAACATATTCCTTCCCACTTTTTCAACATTTTGTCCTAATGTCATAATCATTGCATCATCATTATCCACTTTATGCCACTTGACTCTCAATTAATCTGGGTGATATACAATCTGGGTGGTATACAAATCATTGAACACTATTAAAAAGAAAGAAAGAAAACCCCAAACGAAACATAAAGGTAGCAGTTTACTATATTAATGAATAAATGTTTTATATAAAAGACTCTATTTAAATGTACAGGTAATCCCCGAGTTATGAGCGTTCACTTAATGCTCGTTCGAAGTTACGTGAAGAGCGCCCGCTAGTGTTTACCAGCAAGTCACAAAATTACGACTACTGCAGCACGCCAATCGTTCGCCCTTACGAGCGACTTCAGTGGCACTGCAACATTCACCCTATTCCCCCCCCCACTCCTCACAACTGCTTCCTCCTCCCTTCCTGCCGCACCGGACTCACTTACCTTGCAAAAATCCTCTCTGCTGCGGTTTCTTTCCCTTTGAGGGAGAGGAGAGCCGGCTTGGAAATGTTTTTCGCGCCGAGAATGGAAGTTTCTGTGATCTCACGCGAGTATTTGAAGTTGCACCAAATCACAGACCTCAGAAACTTTCATTCTCTATGCAGGAGGCCAGGCCCCTCGCACTGGCAGAGCTCACCGTGCTGGAGGAGAAAGTGACCCCATTGCCCCCGGAGCCTCCGAGGCATCCAAGCGGCCTGGAACGGAGGCTTTTGCATGCCTCCAGAGGTTGGATCCAGCCCTTGGACTGCTCCAAGCTGCTGCTGCCCAGAACGGAGCTTCCAAGGGTCTGATCCAAGCCTCGGAGGGGTCTTCCAAGCCGTTTGCACCAGGAACGGAGGTTGCCTCCGGAGGTTAGATCCAACCTCTGGAAGTTCCTTTCTGGGCACAAATGGCTTGGAGCAATCCTCTGAGGCCTGGATCCAACTTCCGGAAGCATGCAGAAGCCCCCCCCCCAATCTCTGTTCCGGGGGCAGCCGCCATGTGGCTCCGGAGTTGGGGGGAAGCAGGAGGCAGGCATCGCAAACAGTGTAACAATTCAGGCACCCATTCTCTGCGAAAGAGGATCGATGCCTGAACTCGTGTGATATTACGGCACCCAGGGGCTTCCATCGACTCTCCTGTCCCTCAAAAGCAGGAACCGCGGCAGAAAGGAGACGGATCTTTTCAAGGCAAGTGAGTCCGGCACGGAAAGAATGGAGGGGGAAACATGAGGTATCTTAGTGGGTTGGGGAGGTCTTGGGGACCTGTTCCATCAATAGCCCCCCCCCATGGCTTTCCCCACCCTGAGATATCGAGATTCACTCTACGAGTTACGAATGGAATGTGCAGGCTCCATTGCACTCGTAACTCGAGGACTATCTGTAGTATGGGCACATAACATTTCAGTCTACATTCTAAACTGCATACCCTTTTTAGATAAACAGACACTTAGATGAGATCTGCTCAATTCACATGAAGATGGCAAACTATGGGTCCTTCCTCTGTATTTTTATGAACAACTAGTTGCTATGAAACTATTAACGGAACTGGAGCACCAGCTAAAGGTTGCTGTCATAGATGTTCTGGGAAGCTATACTTAGTTTGTTCATTTTGGCATTTCATTTTCTACAGTTTGAAAGTAACTCCAATAACTTTGTAATATTAGCCTGGAGAAAAGACAGCCTTGAATTCACAAACTTATAATACTTTGGAGATGACAATGACCATGCTTTTGAACCCTGGATGGAATTAATGCTTGGTCAAGGTTGGAACAATTTTCCATCCAGTTTCAGCTGAAAAGCACCAGAAGTTTGCTATTTTCAGCAGAAGAAAAAGGAAGAGTGGTGGCTTAATCTCCTCTTGACCCCACAATTTGTCAGTCCAAGATTTCTCCAGAGAAATAATAAAGCATGTGGAGCTTAAATATTTTCGTAAGACTGAATTTCTCAGGGAGAATGAAAAGTTTTGATTAGAAAAATAGCCTGCCCGTCCTCCAAAGGGAGAGGGGAAAAAAATAAACCTAAGCAAACACCCATCCAAGCAACTCTTATTAAATTCACAGCCCCTGTGGTTGCCTATAACCTAAAATCAAGCATCTGTGGGAGATTGTTCATGCATCAGGGCAGTTTAACCTAACAAGGTTCCACAATCTACAAAGAAGAGCCCAAACTTATTCTTATTAGGTTCTTTTTTCAATGAGTAAAATTTCATCAAACAGCTATACAGACATAGTGATCTATGGAGGACAAGCCAGCCCCGGGTCTCACTTTCTATGGGCCTCTCTCCTCACCACATAATTCCCAGCACTCTAAATGGAATTTTTGCCATACTTCTATTTTACATTTATCAAAATCTAGGAAGATGATTCATCAAGACGTTTAACTAATTAAGGTTTGTGTATGGATAACATAAAGACATTGGAGAAAAAAGCACAATTTCAGTTGATGCCATCTCAGAACAAGACCTTCTCTTTCATGCTCATGATTGGGACTGTGTATTCCAAACAGCAGATGCTGCACTATCTGCCACCTACAGCTTTTATAAATATATCATATAGTGTTACCAAATGAATCAGAAATAACTTAAGCCATTTTCTCAAATTAAAGACTGTATGAAAAAGGTGTTGTGCCTTACCTTCCTCTGGATCCCGATCAACACATAGTAGCAGCAGAAGAGAGAAGACAGAGAGAAAAAAGGATTAGAAAAATTTACAAAGCCTGTTGTATCTCCATGTTTATGGCGCATGCTTTGGGAACTGTATTTATGCTACATCCAGAGAGCAGGATATATTATATTACATTTATATTCTTTGTTCTTCTTCAAAAAACCTAAAGCAGCGTACGATAAAGAGCTTCCTAGTGGTCCCCACCCCACTTTTCCAGAGAGGAACTACAATCTTTTCAACTTTCCCTAAATCATTACAAGCTACAATTCATCACAGGAAAATCTAAAGTCTGTAGATCAGCTACTAGGATATTCACAAGCCACTCACCTTGTAAAGCCTTCATCCTGTAGATTAAGCACTAAATTGTCAGCTGTAAGATACACACGGTTTTGAGATGCTGCAATCTGTAAAAGTTTAGGGCAGTGGATAAAAAAAGGCAGTTAGCAAAGATCCTGAAACACATGGAGGTTTGGCAGAAACATACCTAAGCACAGAAGGTTCTTTCAACATTTAGGAGATCCTTCCATAATCTCATCCTAGTGGTTCTACAGCAAAGTCCCTGTAGAAACCTGCTATGGACAAAATTCTCTTGCCTTTTGAAAGTTTATTAATTTTTTTTGATGTCATCAGTATGGGCTCTGTTTTATCAGATCCGAGAACACAGACAACAGGTGTGGAATTTTAATTTGTTTTATGTTACAAATTTCAGATAGATCCAGGTCCATCAGTATTCTAAACGCCCAAATTCATTCTGCTTCTCCGTCTGATTTTGTTCCTGCTGTGAGCCTTTTCCTAGTCTGTGACACATGTTCTGCAAGTGACCATGACTGAGTATAGCTCACTGAAATGATGTGGGCCTGCTCTTACGACAAGAGTCAAAGTCTTCTCGGCTCTTGTTAAGATGGGGAGATCAGCAGGCACTGACGATAAAGCTGAACATCGGGAGAAGCATATCATATTCGCCTTGGATTCATCACTTGGCCTGGTACAATGCGAAAGCAGCAGCTGAGGGTGGACATGTGTACATATATATGAAAGCAAATCCACTAGTCTTAATACTCACCGTTTTGGAGATATTCTGGGCAGCACGGATCTTGCGCAGCTTGATGTAACCTGGGTTCTTGCTGAGGGCTTCTCCAATGTGAGCAATCAGTTAAGGTTGCGTTTCTTAAAAGTTTTGAACTCAGGCTCATCTTTTGCCATCCCCTCAGCTATGTTTAAGCTGCATTACTTTACCTGAAACCACATTATGTGAAGATTACTGTGCTCTTGCATTCTACTGCTACATCCAAAGCGCCTGAAACCTGTAGCAATCTTTCCCTCTCACATCAAAGCAAGGATATCATTTTAGCAGCTGTGGCTTCACCTTCAGCCTGAACAATCTTGTGCCTTTGTTCTTGCTTTGCTTTTTCCACAAGGAATTGTGCTCGCTGAGCTTCTTGCTGGGCTAGAGAACAGAGAAAAATTAGTATCTTGGCAACCAGAGTCATGTAATACACATGTGGAAATACCAGAACATTGCTAATTACTTCTTGTATTTATTAAATATTTAGTCACAAAAAAATTACTGGACTTTTCAGCCTGGAAAGCCAAATGTAAATCTCCAGCTTTTTAGATAGTCTTTAATTTTACATTTCGCCTTTATTGTTTTTATAAACAACTCCAGCCAGTGAACATATCTAATACTCCTATTTTCCTCACAGCCCTGTGAGGTGAATTAGGCTGAGAGTCAGTGACAGGCACAAGGTCACCCAGCTAGTATTACAATGAATGACATGATATTATAACAAATATTTATTCTTTGTTTAAAACAGGGCTCCCCAAAGTCAACTCATTAACTGTTTCATAAAGTTTCAGATTTTTCATCAATCCTCAAATATTTATATGAAAATAATACTGAACTAATAGTAATACAAATAATAATGGATAGGTGAATAAAAATGCCAAATCGAGTCTAAACATCTAGCTGACTGTGCAACTAACCATAATAATAAAAGATGGATTGACCATTTGGAGAATCCTGATTTAAAACAAGAACCCAACCTTTTTTTCACGCAGAGAGCTAATATAGCATTTGACTAACATGCTGTAGGATGCATTATTTTAAAAGCGGGATCCGAGCACTAGTTATTTAATTCTTCCAATTGCTTAAATTAAATTACAATATGACTGGCATTAAACTTATCTCACTTTAAACTACTTTTAGAATATCCAACTTTACAATTAACTGATTTACACCCACACCCTGTCTCTTATAAAAAATATGTGGGAAGTAAATGTAATTAATTTAATGGTCTCAATATTGCACTCTAACTCATCTTCAACTTAAACAGATTTCCTATGAAACAAAATGAAAAACAACACCACCACCTAATGATCTGACATTAAATCACAGATGGTCCCCTGTGGATAATCCAGAATCCAATTCAGGAGAACGGAAGAATGGAGGAGAAGAGGGGGAATGCATGGCTGCCACAGGAAGCAAAAGACAAAAAGGACCAAAGAGAGGAGCCGGCATAATATACCGTATATTCCGGCGTATAAGACGACTGGGCGTATAAGACGACCCCCAACTTTTCTAGTTAAAATATAGAATTTGGGCTACACTCGCCGTATAAGACTACCCCTCTTCCAACGCACACCAAATAAAAATTAAAAAACATCAGATTTTATTTTATTTTTTTTTAATTTTTTTATTATTTAAACCGACAAACAAAACAAAACAAAATACACATATATACACAATATATATTTTAACATCAACTTCGTAACAGTAATCTTCTATTATTTACATTTTCCCCCTTATTCTTCTTTAGAGTATTTATCCTTATTGCCCCATTATTTATTTGCATTTTTCTTCCTTCATAAATTATTATATACACATTTTCCACGTTTAACCTTTCCACATTTATTCTCTCTTATTTCTACTCTCTAGCCAGTCATACCACTTGCTCCATATTAAATAATATTCTGTGTCTTCTTTTTCTTTTATCTCTTTTGTTAATTTGTCCATCTCAGCACAGTCCAGGATTTTCTTTATCACTTCTTCCTCTGATGGTATATTCTC